GTTATGAACAACAACAAAATCATCATCATCATCATTATGAACAACAACATCATCATCATCGTTATGAACAACAACATCATCATTATAAACAACAACATAATCATCATCGTTATGAACAACAAAACATCATCATCATCATCATTATGAACAACAACATCATCATCATTACGCTAAAAATTTACTATGTATGGGCTTTTCCTTATTCGTTCGCGAAGTTGCAAGGAGTTAACTTTCATTCTTTTGTATAATATCATTATAACTGGTGTCAATATTATTAATATTATATGATTATTAATATTATTTATTATTATCATTATTATCATTAATATGATTATTATTATTATTATTCTGTTACCAGCTCGTGACATCTCCTTCGCTTCTATTAAATTCTCTGTCAGTATTTCCATCACGGATCCTTCAGGCATAATAATTCAAAAATAAATCATTCATTTGAGTTATATATATATATATATAAATTTATATATATATTTATATACTTTAATTTATATACTTTCTATACCTCACTTTTTGCTTATGTTTTTATATTATTTCTTATATATTTTGTAAATGTTTTTATGTGTGTATATATATATATATATATATATATATATATATATATATACATACATATATATATATATTTGATATTATATTTATTGTGATGTTTGCCATTGTGTTATAGTACGTTTAAAGCTTCAACACACACACACACACACAAACACACACGCACGCATTTTAAAGCTTCAACACCACACCCACACCCACACACACACACACACATACACACACACACACACTATATATATATATATATATAATATGGATATTTATTTAAAATTTATATTTATTTTTTGATAAATTTTGAATAAATTTTTTATTTGAAAACTTTATTAATATTGAAACATCATTGATGTTGTTGTTCTTGTCATTATCATTATCGTGCTTGTTGTTGTTGTTGTTGTTTCTTGCAGTTGTTGTTGTTGTTTATTTTTGATAAACACTTTTAATATCTCGTTCAGTCCAATTTCATATATAATTTAATATACAACATTTAATTCCTACATACACACATACATGTTTACTTTACATACATTTCTTTATTTGCATTCTATCTATATTTATACACATGTAAACATTGTACACATAATGTATATATATACATATACATATACATATATATATATATATATATATATATATATATATATATATATATATATATATATATATATGCAATATTTGATAAAATCTACCGAATGTTCAGCTTTTGAAAGTTTTTGATTTTCTAACGAACGAATAAGACGAAGTAGAGTAAAAGCACTTTGCACACACGGAGAATTGTAAAACCTTGAAATATCCCTATATAAACGCTGATGATAAGTAGAATCGAAATATGCCCATATACGACTCACCATGAACACCAAGGATTTTCTTAATAATTTTAATAAATTGGATAATAATTACAAAATTACTGTTAGAAATATTGAAAAGCTCATCCGTAAACTTCCAAAAGCTAAAAATTTTGTAGATTTTATCAAATATTGCATCAATTATGGTCTCCTTCCAGCCACACACACACACACATACACACTTATATATATATATATATATATATATATATATATATATATATATATTTAGGAACGAGGTTTTCAGAAATGCAAATTTCATTGAAATTGTTTGCCCATTTTGCATTAATTAACTTCTTTATAAGACATTCAACGAGGCGGTATTGTTTGAGTTCATATTTATCTAAAACTGGAATAAAGCTTTTTTCACCAACATTTTTTCAACCATGTTAAAACTTTTATAAAATTTCTATATTTTAATTATTTTACTAAACATTTTATTTAAATTACATTATTTTATTTATATAATCTACATAAACTTTAGTTATTATGATATTTACAACAAGGTTAATTTATTTCACAATTTAATACATATTTTATTTTCTATATTTTCACATTTTACATTAGACATTTATTTTAATTAAATTATATGTTTAAACAATATTTAGGCTCTGAAGATGGCATTACGCCGAAACAGCGCTGTTAGCTTTATTCCAGTTTTAGATAAATATGAACTCAAACAATACCGCCTCGTTGAATGTCTTATAAAGAAGTTAATTAATGCAAAATGGGCAAACAATTTCAATGAAATTTGCATATATATATATATATATATATATATATATATATATATATATATATATATATATCTTTTTCTTTTTTTGGATACACATTTACTGAAGTAACTAGTTATATCTCAATATTGCAAGATAATGATTACTGATTATTATAGTATATACTGAAAGATTATTTTGTTCTAATAAAATTACATTATTATCGAATTTATTTAATTAATGGTTAAAAAGGGTTGAACAAAAAGTTTTTATTAAATTACTCAAAAATTAACAAATAAAAGTAATAAAATTCGATTAAACCCATCAATCCATCAATCAATGATCCTCCTTTTTCCATCAGGAGACCGTGGAAGTCGATGGTGTATACCTAAGCATGCTTTTTACATTTCTTTTTTTTCTTCCCAAAAACCTTTTCTATCTTTGGCCAGTTTCATTGAATTCAGAATACCAACACCAGTCCATTCAGTAATGTCATCTATCCATTTCTTTGCAGGTCTACCAACTTTTTTCTTCCAATCTCTTTTCCTCATTAGTACCATCTTAATCAATCTATCTTCTCTCATTCTACAAATGTGTCTAAAAAAATCCCAATTTTCTTTCTTTGACTTTGTCATATAACACTTTTCTGTCTTCCAAGTTGATTTCTGATGGTTTCATTCTTACTTTCTGCCTCCAACTGATTCCCAACAATTTCGATAACACTTCATCCCAAATGCTTTCAATCTGTCTTTGTCTCTTCTCTTAATTTTCATGTCTCACATGCATAGAGCAAGCTCGGAAAAACGCAAGATTCTATCATTCTCAATCTTGTTTTTAAAGATATATTTCCACTTTTCCATATTTTCTTCAATGATGCGAACATTCCATGGGCTATTGCTATCCATCTGTAAATTTCTTTTTTGCAGTTGTTGTCACAGGTTATAAGACGGCCAAAATACACAAACTGGTCGACTCGAGTTTTTCTGAATCTATCTGAAATTCCGCATTGTTTCTACCTTTCCCCGTAATCACCTTCGTTTTGTCTTTGTTGAAATGCAACCCGTGGTCTGATAGAAAAAAACCGTTTGGATATTTTTTAATCAGCATGTTCTAATTTATTTTTACAGATTAGGGGCCGTCCATAAAGGATGTCACTCTTCAAGTGGGGGGAGGGGGTCCAAATATTTGTGACGAGGGGGGTAAACGCAAGTGTGACGTCCATTTTTTTTTAAATAAAAAAAAAACAATAAATAAATTTTCTTTTATATATATGCGCATAAATGAATATTAAAGTTTTCAAGCGAGCAAATAGCTCATGAATATTAATTAATGGAGGAGTCAAATTTAAATGCCATCGTTAAAGTTGAAGATACGTGGACGAACAATCACAATGTTTATCTAAAGCACTTTCTAAAAATTTTGCTTTCAAAACGCCCGTGCAGGACAAGTTGAGGACCAAGATTGACATCATAAATAACGATTTAAATGCTCTTTACAAACGAAAATTCGCTGGCATGTTGTCTATTGAGCGGTCTGAACAGTTAAGGGAATGCGAAAAGAAGAAGAAAAATCTGGAAAAGACGTTACATGTGAAATTTCAAGAACAGACCCGCAAAAAAAGTGATAATCAAAAACCAAGACTTGACGAACTTTGTAAAAGGGGGGGGGGGTAAAATTTTGTGACATGCTTATTTTGGGGGGTTGGTCGATTTGTGACAGTTTGTGACACGTGGGAGGGGAAGGGTAAAAAAAACGTTAAAAAGCGTGACATCCTTTATAAGAAGCTGCTTATTTTATGCCAAGATATCCTCAAAAAGTTTATTTTGTTCGGTGTTATTTTACATGTATGAATCAAATACTTTTTTTTATAAATTATTCGTTTAGATTAACTTTTTAACACTTTTAAAAGTGAACCACAACTTTAATAATCATGGGTGCTGGTTCTAGTAAGAAAATCGATCTAATAACTCAAATTCCGTTATCCGGACAAGAAAATAATGAAAAATTAGTGCCGTGGCTGTTGTACAATGCAAACGTCAGTGACGAAAGTGATGGATTCGTGACGGAAAGTGTCTCCATATTTGATTACGTTGATGACCCCAACAGCAGGAATGCCTGCCTGGTTGATACTTTGCTTTTATTTTAATAATAATAAAAAAAAATTTAATTTTTTGTATCAAATATTTTATTTTAGAGCAGTTTGAAAAAATTATTATCTGATCGTTTATAAATTAAAATTATAATTTGGATATCTTCATTTAGTAATTGTTTTACATTTAAAATTTTAAATGATTTAATGTTTAATTTAATATTAATTAAAAAGAGTAGAATGTATAAAAACAGAATAATATATATATATATATAATTTATATATATATATATATATAATTTTTACAATATTCTATAAATTCTACCGAATGTTTGGTGTTAATATGTTTATTTATAGTTCGTTTTTTTGATTTTTCTCACTAAAGTTTTTTAGAGAACTTATAGTTTATTTATTTATTAAAATTCAAAATAAACTTATTTTCCAAATTCATGCTACAAATGCTCCGAATGAATCATCATCAGTGCAATTTAATTTATATATGGAAATATTCACTTTGTCAAAGTGAACTTAGATGGAAATTAGGTGTCAGATTTTTTTATTGGCTGGTCCATCTTTGTTGTATACATATATATATGGATATATATATCCATATAATATATATATATATATATATATATTATATGGCTAATAATATTAGCTAATATGTGAATCAAGCAAACCACTGAACCAATCAATTTTTTAAAACCTCTGCAGATACTAAAGACCCTACGTCACCCAAACATCATCCAACTCCACAAGTACCACAGTACGCCAACTATAACAGCAACAACAGTACTTAACAACGCGTACAATGACCATCAGAATACATGTTACTTAGTAACAGAGCCTCTTACACCACTTGTCAATTGCATCAGTAATTTGAATATCCATGAAATACTAGCAGGAATTTTTGACGTCATGAGTGCTCTCAAGTTTCTACATTATAATGTCAGTGCATTTATAAATTTTTTTTATTATTCTCTTAATAGTTTGCAGTACTTTTCAGATGTATTAACAACACACACACGCGCACGCAAAACATATATATATATATATATATATATATATATATATATATATATATATATATATATATATATATATATACAGATACACACACACACACCCAAACAAATACACACAAACGAACACACACACACACAATGCGTGCCACTTATACGTATGTGAGTCCA